AGGTGCAAGAAATTTTAGGTTACTTCATATTAGTTGAGCTCTGGCAGTTTGTAATTTTATACATACCAGTCTGTTTTATTTAAATTATAGAATATATGTGCCACAGGTTTGCAGAATAGCCTTATAATAAGTTTAATGTCTCTGTGATCAATAGTCATATCTCTTTTTCCAGTCCTGTGTTAGCACTATGCATGTTTTACCTTCTTCTCCCATCTGGCTAGAGGTGTATCAGTGTTATTATTCATTGTAAAAAATTCATATTTAGTTTCCTTCATTATTTTTATCTTAAAGGTAGCTGTATCAGTGTGTTGTGTTATTTCCCCCTTTACTTACTGTTCGTTCATTCTCCTCTTTTTTTTTCAGTGCTGGGGATTGAACTCAGAACCTTGTGCTTGCAAGGCAAGTGCTTATTATACTGAGCTATCTCCCCAGCCCCTCTCCTCTTCATCTTCTTAAGGTGTAACTGTAGGTTATTGATTTGAGATAGTTCTTTTCAAATAAGCCTCTAATGCAAAGAATTGTCTTCTCAGAATGTATTTGTTATTTTGTATTTTTATTTTTAATCCATTAATTTTTTTTTCAAATTCCTTTGGAACTCTCCTTTGGGTTCATGGGCTATTTCACTGTAATTCTGAAGTGTTTAGCAATTTTTCCTCTATTTCTGTTTTCTATGTTTGCCTCAATGTTGTGATTAGAGGACAAACTCTGAAGATCTTTAAATTTGTTACAGTTTGATTTGAGGCATATGATACGACATTTCTTGGTGAGTGTTTCTCTGTACTTTACAAGAACTTGCTGTTATTCACTTTTTAGAGTTCTCAAAAAGCTACTCCACCTTTTATGCCCATGTTTTATAGATGTGTTCAATGAGAAACATAGGGTGGAATATGCTTCTTCCATTTTTGCCACAATTGCAACCTTCCATGTCACTTTGCGAAAAATTTTGGTTGCTGATGAATGCTATTCTGAAGTAGTCTTTATAAAGATCCTGTTATCGTTCAAAACTATAAATTGTGTGAAAATTGGTGGCAAACATCCTCCTATTTTCCTACTAAGGGCTACATAGGTTTTGAGAGCTCTAAGAGGCAAGTAAGAGCACATTCTTTTTTGTACAAAGGATAAATACTAGGTTGGTCTATGTCCTTAAAGCATTTGTTATATTTTAGGTAGACATCTCCATGAAGCTTGCTGAAATTTTCAGTACTTGACATAAGAAAGATGGAAAAATATTAATGAGGTCAGAATAGACTATTCAAGGGACTAATTTGGTAACAGGATAACTTTTCCCCAATGAAGATGCTCATCTAAAGTATGTGCCTTACGGTTAATGGTCAAGTTTTCAGTAGATGGATCCTAGCTAAGAGAATCTGGCAGCCATGGTAGCAATGAAACAAGCAATAGTTATTTCATAGTTACAGGAGGATTACAGAGGACAAAACGAGGTTCCTGGAAAATAGAACTGATAAGCGGAGGACTGAAGGTCCCAGCCCCAGCTAGGCTGGTGAAATTAAAGGAGTAGCTACTATATGGAGCTATATAAGGAATCAGAGAATCGGAGGAAGTCCATTCCTGTCATTTGGTGAAGTGCTTCCATGCAGAAGCAAGGTTGAACAAATGGCTATCCAGAGCAAATGCCAGCTCTGGGGCAGAGCAAACTAGTGTCACTCTGTCACATGCTGGGCTGATGAGAGAATGTCAGGGTAAGTTACAGGTCAAGAAATCTTTAAGTTTATCAAGTGTGGAGAGTCGAGACACTAGAAAGTTCATAGTGTCTCTACACAGGGGTAGATACTCATGTGTAGCATACACACCTGAACAGCCTCATCAGGATTTTCATTAATGACATAGAAGTGAGTACATAGTGAAACGTCTTGCTTGATAACATACACATCCAACTAGACCACCGGGAAGTAGTGGTGTCGCATACGAAGAAATACATAAGAGGGGTATGAAAATAGTCATATGATAGAATAGATAATTCACAGAATTTATTGTACGTCAAGTTGCAGTCACCTGAAGCAAGCAATTACCAAACTAAATGATAATTCAAACACTGTGGACTTACATAAGCAGTTTCCTTTGCCTTCTGACAATTTCTCCCTCTTTGATCCTCTACCCCCTACCTTAAAAAGAAAAAAAGCAAAAGTCTATTACTGTTGATAGCAATTCAGTTCTAAAGTTGAATGCAAGACAGTGTTAAAAGAGCCAGCATCCTCCTCAAGGATTCTGTCCAGCCAACTGCCACCAGCCTTGGCACCTTGAGTCTCCCACAGTTGGCCTGCACAAACATACTTCTTTCTCTTTGCTTTATTTGAATTCATCACAGGGAAAGATGAACCCTGGATTTGTGTTTGCTCAAAGGTTATCTTTAGATTAGCTTTACCTTGGTGACCTGAAGCTGCTGCCTTTGTCCTGATCCAGTTACTCTTGGGAATACCAATTAAGATCCTCAATCACACTAATTAGAATGTCTTTGAAGTGTTGCCTTAGGAATTCAGCAGCTTATAAACAGGCAAATTGTGAAAAATCTAGAGGTGTCTTTCTTTTTTTTTTTCATAGCTGCAAACAATGTGGGAGGCCAAAATACTTTAGGATAGCTGAAGAGTGGGGCTGAAATTACTGCACTGAAATACCTAGTTGGCCTTGCTGACAAGGATTAATGCAGAATTATTAATTACTTTTATTAATGACTTAGCTGAGGACATAGGTGGCATGCTGATCAGGCTGGTAGGTGGCACAACGCTAAGGAGATAGGGAACAATTACTGCAGTGACCGACGCAGGATCCAGAATGATTCCCAGACAGAATTAATGGCAAGCCATCCACGACCTGCCTGGCAGCCTGAGCCCCGCCAGGTACAGCATGGTGATTATATCATTCCTGTAATCAGAAAGCATCAGGGATTCCTTCTTTTCTATGTAAGTTAAGTCCCTTCCTTCATCAGCTCTTTTGTGCCTTGCCATATTAAAAGAAAAAAATCTTCTGTAGTTCTTTTTCTCATACACTGCAAGGGAGCCAAACTAAATTATTTATAGCCCTTTTCCTATTTATGCGCCATGTTTTTATTGCTTTATGAGCATTATTCTCCACCAGAATTTTCTTCTTCTCATGTATACTTTGCGTCAGTTCTAGGGAATTGGGCTGAAGCTTGCGCAGTTAGAAAGCCCCTCTTATGTTTAGGTTTTTGCCTGCCTTGGCTAGAGCAATAGGTTTCTTTTTCTCATCTTCAATAGCACGTATCTGCTCCTCTCTATTTTTGCCACTCCTTACTTCCTGTTGCAGTTACTTGTTACACACTTTACAGGTTGTTGTGAGCATCTGCTTAGTGTTGTGAGTTCTATCTGATACATCATTGTGTTCCCTAAGAGTGCTCGTGTGTATGTTTTACACCGAGTTGATGATACTGAAAGGGTTTTGCTTGGGGTGTACCAGTTACACAGGAGCGCCTTGACAACAGGGCCTACATCTTTCCTGCTCTGCCAGTTGTTTTATAGGGATTTGTAAACATCAAATGCTCAGTACAAATTTCATTTCGGGTTTTGTGGTGCTAAGGACTGAGCCCCAGGCTGCAGACGTGGCAGGCAAGTGCTGTGCTGTGCCTCCCTCCCAAGGCTCAAGGAATGATGGGAAGCAGATTCCCATGAGGTAACACTGTAAAGATTGGTGAGGAGAATTGTGGTGGAAAAAGGAGACACTTAGTCTCTGAGGTAACGTATTTACTCGTGGTACAGTCATAAACTCAACTCTGCTCTGTGGACACTGAAGGTACAGAAGGAGGCATGATCTGAATCAGAAATTTCTGGTGATGTATGTGGTAGGACAGGTGACAGGCCTGGACACCTCCACCGTCCTCTCCCATAAACAGCCTGGCTTTTTTTTGGCAGCACTACCTTTTGGGTCCATGTGGCCTTCTTGCAAGTGACCCATTTTGCTTGATTTTATATGGACACACTCTATCAAATAGTTCTTTGGCCATTGCAGGCTGGTGAGTCATTGTGGTTGTAAAACTTGTGGTGTAAGCTGTTTGAGACAATTCCTGTCACCATCCTGGTGCAGGTACAACCCCTTCTCTATCAGTTTCTAGAAATGAGATTTGGAGAACTTATCAAGATCGCTGTGAGCAATCCTATATGGACAGTATGTTTGCAAAAAGCAGAGGTCTGGAGCATAGACTTTCTGAATCGTCTAGTATTTCTCATCCTAAAGAGGTTTTTGTTTGTTTGTTTCTTTCTTTTTTAACCAGAGGGCAGCATGTCTCAGACAGTAGGAAAAGAATACTTTGTGGAGTTGTTCAATCTCTAGGTCTTTGTTAAAGATCACACAGCCAAATGTTGAGATATGCTTCTTACTGGTTGGCAGTTTTTGCTGGTTCGCAACAGGAAGGCTAAACATCATAGAAATTGGACTCTTGCCTCCTCCTTTGTCTTTTCCAATGAGAAAAATGGGAGCTACAGGACATAAGGTTTATACATCTCCCTTCATGTAAATTCAGAGGGCTGGGGACTGCAGGTTTAGTTTGAATGCAGGATTTCTTGACTTTCCCATGCATTACTGCGAAGGAAGTGTACCTAGACTGTAAAATATTCTCCACTGAGAACAAATGAGAGGAATTTGAAGCAAGGTGAGAAGGTCAGATGTAACTGCCAAAAATGTGACTTTTGGTCAGAAAAATCCAGGTGAGTATTTTTATGTTAGCAACTATAGTTCGATAATTTAGTTTTGGACCCTGAGAGCTGAGGTTCAATCATGGCTTTACCACTTGGTTATATTATTTCAACATGTCTGAGTTTCCTTCTTTACGTATAATTTGAAGATTGAAGACAAAAAGACAAAGGAAAACATATACCATCTTAATGTTTGGTTTGACAACTAACCTTGTTAATATTATAAAAACACTGAAACAGTTCTTAGTTGTAGTCCACATGCAAACACCAGGTCTTACTATCTAAGCACTTGAAGGTCACAAGGACCCTCACTCACCCTCACTTTTGTATTGACAGGATGGGGATTGTGTGGTGCACCCTGAGCCTCTGTCTCTTTGGGATCCTGCAGAGTGACGCCTCTGGTAAGTGAACAGCTGTTAATAATCCATTACAATTTAAGGTATATGTAGTGCAGCAGCTCTTTCTGAAAAGGAATCGCAAAGAACATCATGCTGTGTACTTCCGCTGATGTAGGGCCCATGAGTTGGGAGGAACTGCTGACATTTCCCCTCACAGAACATGGTGTACTCGGTTGTCATGTGTAACTACCAGAAACTTTCGTCACTTTTAGCACCCAAGTTAGAGAACTGCTTCTTTGCTTTGCCCTAGGCTCTGTGAGGCAATAGGTGGCCATGAGGGGAGCACCCTCTTTTCCAAACAGGAATCAGCCATGAAGGCCACAGTGGCTAAGAGTCCAGGCAAGAGAGGGAGAGATAGAGAAAGAGAGAGGGAAGGGTGTAGAGGGAATTAGTTCCTATCAAGCTGTAGGGGAAAAGAAAAAGGAATTGTCTGTAGGTTCAGGTTCATTTTTTCTTGGATGTTGTTTCAAAAGATGAGCCAAACAAGCTTTTTTGAATTTGAAAAGCCAAACTCAGCCATTACAAATTCAGATTGTGTGAGTCCGAGGGGAAAGCCCACTTTTCACCCCAACTCCTGTCCTCCTCTCCCCTCCCTCCCTCTTTCCCTCCCACTTTGTCTCCCACTCTTCCTTTCTTTGAACAAATAAACTCTGCTATTACAAACCCAGGTGATAAAAAATCAGAACCAATGGCTCACCATTGAGGTCTTTTGCTTCTTCCCACAATTTCTGCTCCAGGTCCCTAACCAAGGATCATCTATTCTCAGCCTACTGTATATTCAAATGGATGAAACTTCTAGAAAGATTTTAGCCTATAGAACTGACAAGCATCTCTTTTTCATTTCTGTACATTTCTTTGGTCCAGTTGCAGGGTGAAACAGAAAATCATTCCTGCAAAATTCCTTTAATTATAGTACAGGAGACATAGGGATCCTCATTTTAGAAAAATCGCATGCATAAGTGCACTGAGTATGATGGCCCATACTTGGGGTACCATTAATTTCTGTTCTGTGTGTGAGGCCTTCAGAGGTGTTATGTCAGTGATTACATAACTGTGACCCCAGTCTCTCCAATCCAGGCCTCACATGCATGGATCCCGGCCCTTCTACCATCCTCGTCATCTTCGCTGCGCGCATTTCAGTTTCTCTGTCACGGAAAGCATTGTATTAGACACCAAAAATAACTGTAGCAGAGGGGTGTAACTGGGACAGGGTTCAGTTCAAAGCTGAAAGTAGAGATAACATTTAAACTTGTGGGCCTTTGAGACTTTATAGAGCAAAGTATGGATTATAACTAGGCCCGATCCTCAGCAGGGCAGAGCTGGGAGGCCTTAGAATCCCAGCCTCTGTCCGGCTTGGCTGGGTGTCACATTGGATGCGTGAATGCCTTGACATTGTACTTTTTATATACTTTGACTCTAAGCCTTCATTATAATTTTTCTTATTTGATTTGATTTAGTTTGATGTTTGAGTGTTATCCACTCACAGAGGCCTTTTGTGACTATTTTTAACCAAAATAGTTGTGTTCACCACTCTGTGTCCCTCTCCATTGCTTTAGGGTTCTTCGTACCCCCTGTTTCCTGGCTTTCTCTCTTTTCTCCTCTCCTGCTCCTCTTCCTTTCTGCTCTTCTTCCCCAGCCCTTCTTCCTTCCTCTCCCTGCGCCATCCCTATTTCTGTCCCTCCTCCCCTGCCTTCTTTCCTTTCCTCCTCCCTCCCTTCCTTCCTTGTTCTGTTCATCTCGTCATTCTCTCCCTCTGATTTTGAGCGACCAGCACAAAGACTTGTCTCTTTCATTTGTTCTCCAAACTTGCAAAACGATAACCAGCACAGAGCAGATACTCTCAGTGTTCAATGGTTAAATGGGTATGTTTTAGTGTTTGCTCTTCCCACCCTCAAACCTGGCCAGTATGTGTTCCATACTAGAAACTCATCCTTGCGTTTTCATGTCCTACCTCACTGTGAAGGAAGGAAAGGGGGAGGTGAGTGTATTTCTGTTGTTGGGAGATCAGGAATCCCCAGAATCAGTGGTTCTGGCAGTGCTGCTTGCGGAATGACCTTTACTGTGATCCACTCAAGGACACCCCTCCCCCCAGTTCTCCAAATGCTGTGGGTAAGTGAGCTTTCTACCCAGGAACTGTGACTCATACTTCTGCCAGGGGAAGCCGCCGTCTTGAATAAGATAAGTTCTCATACCAGCCCCATTGAGTCACCGCAGGAGCAGGAAACATGTTGTAATCCCCTAGGCCCATCTGGAGCGTACTCATTTGCCTGCCTCATGAAGAGGTATATTGTGTTCATGTCGGCGCTGTACTTCCTAGCTGAAGGGGGAGGAACAAAAAGGAAGCGTTGTGGACAAAAATAAAAGAGGCAACTGGCCCTTGGGAAAAAACGGATCATCGCACATCTTGAGGGATAACCGACCCCTCTGTGCGTGGAGGTATTGCCCTTCGCAAGGATGGAGAGGCCTGCAGAGGCGTCCGTGCAGCGCGAGGCGCGCTCCGTGCTTCCGGTTCCCATCTGAATGAAAGTACAGATTTGATGGGAGGATCAAAGGAGGAAGATGTGCTGAGATCGCTAGCATGTTCTCTGCGCATGTGGCACCAGCAGGTTTGTTTTTTTGCTCGGAACTGTCCATCGATCCCCTCTTTAAAGAGAGGCTTTCAATTTAGAATAAAAAAGCAGCAACGGTGTAAGAGTTCTGTGTCGTGCAGTGATGTTCAAGTGTAGTGAACCAGCTTTCAAGGCACAAAATTCTGACTTCAGACTGGTTAGCAAAACTGCAGTTTCTTTCTCCCTTCAGAAGTGGGCAAGCAACATTTTTTTCCTCTGGCAGTGATAAATACAAATAAAAAATAGTATTATTTTCTTTTAAGGAATTAAAGTTTGATAATTATAATAGTGATAATGAGAGGGTTAGGCAGAAGAAAGTTGGAAGGGAAGGAGATGAAGGAAAGAATCAAGACATGTTATAGATAGGTATCGGTTCTACCAATGAAAGCAATTATTAATTATGTACTGAAAACATGTGCTAATTTAATTAGTTGATTAACTAAAAACATCCAAGATGCCTAGTCAAATCACTCAGAGAACAGCATGCTACTTAGCATAACTGTGACTTCAACTACTTCTTCAATTCCCAAGACTCACGTTAATTTTACTAAACGTTTTTCCTATGGGCTCTAATAGATTGTCAGTAACTTAGAAAGATTAAGGAATCACTAGAACCCTTTTTAAAGGAGTCACAGGTAATTATATTGCTCAATGTGGAAGAGCTACTCAATAGTAAGTTTCCTGATGTTTACACGAGGGGCATCTTAGCAAAACCAGTCCCCTTCCTTCAAGACAGGTTCTTCAGGAAAGAACAGCACTGTGCTCCTAACTTGCTTGTGGTTGTGTACTGTGTTTCTAGTGTTAAGCCCAAGGAAGTTGCCATTTGTAGGATTTCGAGAGGAAAACTTCAGTGCCTCACACGTGCCACTTTTGGTGTTCTTCCCATCGAAGGAGGTTTGGAAAGCTAAACTCTTAAAGATGCCTTCAGAGGAGAGATCAATGTTTAGAACTTGGGAATCCACATTGGCAAGATTAGTGTTACTGCATCGGAATGGTGAAACTGGAAACTGAAGCCCCATGAAGATAACATGAGTGTGTGGTGCTCATGGTGACCTGCCGCCAGAACTGGTTTCTGAGCACTTGGTTTAGCTCATGGAAGTAAAATCCTCTGATTCCTTTTCCATTATGGTTTTTTTTATGAAGTTCATAGAGGGTAGATATAATCTATTGATTTATTAGGCATGAAGTACATCATGCAAAACACTTAAGTAAAAATGACGTGGTTTGCTAGAAGTTCAGAGACATTGCTTTAAACTGTATTTCATTCTGTGAGCTGGTTAGTGACTTTAAAGTGGTTATTTCATCAAGTTTTGTCACTGTCTTGTGCCTGTAAAACAAATCAAATGACCACCTAAATCACAACAGCAGTAGGCCACTAGTACTTAATTGTTCCTAATGACAATTGTTATGACAATTTCCTTCCATTTTCAATCTCACATGCTTGACCTTTTTATACTGTGGAATCCACAGTGAATAAGGAAAACCTCTCCTTTTAAGGATCCTGTTGTCAAGTTTGAGAGAAAAAGAGACAGCAAATATTTAATTGGATACCGTAAGAGGGCACAGAATTTATTCAAGCTCTGGAAAGTTGTTGGGCAAGACTTTTCAATCACAGGAAAGCGTTCTTTCTTAGGATGAAATATATCTCTTATATGGGACATCACACTGCAAAGGAACAAGAAAAATAGTGTGAAGACATTTAAACTGAGCTGGGAGGGCAGGTTAGGAAACACTGGAGGATAGGAATCCGGTCAAGAATAGAACATTCTTGTGTCTAATGCATTTAAATATAATTGGCTAGTGTAAGGCAGTGTGTGTGTGTGTGTGTGTGTGTGTGTGTGTGTGTGTTTTCAATATGTCTTATTTCTGCAAGGACATATGATATTTTTAATGCTATGTAATGGTTCTTTCAGCTTCTGGTACGAGTTCAACTTGTTGCCAGCCTCAATGGCCTCATTTTATTTGAATGTGCTTTATGAAAAAGTCCCCACTGAGATGGACTTGTGACATTCAGTCCTGTCTCTGCTGCCCGTGGCCGATCATACTGAACATTCTTCATTTCTATGCAACTTAGTCCAAACATTTGGAGAATGTATGAAGAATACCATTTCCTTTTATTCTCAGACCTAAAGGTCACTGGAGTCCCAAAAATCTCACCCAGTTGTCCTCTAACTGCTGCCTCTCAGCAGTAGATCTCTTCCCTCCTTTTGGTCAAGCTGCATTTTGGAAATACATAGATGATTACTTTGAAGTTACTTAACACTTTCCAAGGATGAATATTCCTGATTGAAAAGAGATTTGAGTACCACAGCTTATTAGCTTGATGCTGACTTTGCAAATAAATGCTATCTTGTGTGTTGTGCTGATTCTGTGTAGAAAAACAGACTACTTCTT